AGCTCTCCTCGATCAGGGCTCGGAAATGACATTCATCTCGAAAAGTTTAGCGCAAACCTTGCGCGTAAAACGCATTCGTATGCCGATTTCCGTTTCCGCCGTCGGCGGGATAAACGCGGGGACTTTTCAACACGCGACACACATATTCATTTCTCCTCGCGATTCTCACGTTCCGTCGCTGTCGACCACCGCGCTCATTATGAAATCGTTAACTTCTTATGTTCTGAGACAAAACGTGGACATTTCGTCACTATCTTATCTTTCTGATTTGCCGCGAGCAGACGCGGATCCGACGAGTCTTGATCCTATAAATCTCATTATCGGAGCAGATCTCTATAACGATATCATTCTCGACGGTGTTCGCAAAGGAAGCGTTGGACAACCAATTGCTCAAAATTCCGTCATCGGATGGATAATTTCGGGACCTCTTACGTCATCAACGACGAATAATCTTTCAAAGCCGACAATTCTTTCTGGAAACTGCACTCTCAATCGCGTTTCAACTCATCATGTCGTCGGCTCTCCCTCGCTCGAAGAGGAAATTCATCGGTTTTGGGAGACCAAGGAACTCCCACGACAAAATCATCTCACACCGCAAGAAAAGCAGTGTGAAGAGCATTTTCGCTTAACGCATTCTCGCGAGTCTGACAAACGGTATGTCGTGCGGCTACCGTCCAAGAAGGGTCCTCCGAAATCGGAAGTTCAAAGCTTCACGCGGAAAAATTGCTCAATTCATCATTTCGCAGATTTCGCGATAAACCGGAAATCGCGACAGAATATCGCGAATTCATGTCCGATTATCAACGACTTGGGCATATGCAGCCCGCGCCGACAGCTCAAAGTCAAATCGAGCAACATGTTTATCTCCCGCATCATGGTGTGATCCGGGAAAGTAGCTCTACTACGCGTCTTCGCGTGGTAGAAAATTCAAGCCAACGTATTTCTGACGGAAATACACGCGTTGTCAAACAATCAGAGCCTCTCGTCGAGAAGCTCACTTCTCTCGCTTCGACCGTTCCTCGATCGGGACGGAATTCTACGCGTTGGTGGACGGCTTAACAAAGCCCCGTTGCCAATGCCGGTTCGAAATCCGATTCTTCTCTCATCGCATCCTCTCGTTACATTGATCGTGAATCAAACTCATTTACGAGCGTTACATGCCGGACCGCAACTAACCCTCAACGTTCTGCGCCGCGAATTCTGGATCATTCGCGCTCGCAATATCGTAAAATCTGTCATTCATAAATGTGTTGTGTGTACTCGCGAACGAGCCGCGACTCCCACACAAATCATGGGAGATCTTCCCGAACCTCGCGGAACAGCGACAGTACGCTGTTTTTTACATTGCGGCTTAGATTACGCAGGACCCGTGCAAATTCGCGACTCCACTGGACGAGGTATCACTTCGCGCAAGGCATATATCGCGCTATTCATCTGCCTTGCGACTAAGGCAATACATTTGGAGGTAGTAAGCGACTACTCCACTCAAGCGTTCTTAAACGCTTACTCTCGATTCTGCGCTCGCCGCGGTCTCCCGCAGTCAATGTACTCGGACAACGAGTGCCTCACTCCCGGTCATTGCTTAATCGGATCAACGCTTACTGTAAACCCGGAACTATCATTGCTCGATCTCAACGAAAATCGCCTATCGAGATGGCAACTAGTCCGACATGTCACTGAACGATTTTGGAAACTATGGAGCAACGATTATTTAAACACGTTGCAACAACGAGCAAAATGGCGGAAGGTCAAACCGCAGATCGATACCGGACAACTTGTTCTCTTGCGAAATACGACACTTCCTCCCTGCGAATGGGAACTAGGCCGAGTAACGCGTTGTCATCCCGGGTCCGACGGCTTTGTGCGGGTCGTCACCGTCAAGACGGCCACCTCTGAATTCAAACAACCAATTATAAAACTGTGCGCATTACCGGTCAAGAGTGAGGCGACGAGCAATTAGGCCACTTCGCCGCGTTGCGTTTCATTTATTGTAATTCATTAGACTTAAGCACAAAATTGTCACAGGGCGAGCGTCATTCCGCCAAGGCGGGCGGCAGATTCACGATGTTAAATCATATCGAAAAAAAAGTAATTCTTCCTTATATCGTTAATGCGCTCTTATCGTTCAATGCTACTGTTGTATCGATTATTTTGGAACTATCGTTCCAAGGCGGGCGGTATGTTCAAGATTGAAACGTTGAATTTAATCGATAAATTTAAACTGTAAATTCAACCGACAAATCTGAACGGTAAGAGCCGCGATCAAAACCCGAGCGAGAATAAGCATCGTCGCAATCAGCCGATCGGCGCGTGACCATAACAAAAAAAAAAGTGCGTGATCGCATTCTTCTTAGAATGAAAAACTGTGACAAACAGCAAGTTCTCGAAGGTTCGAAATCGGAAAAACTTGTTATTCACATCGGCAGAGCGCGAGTTTCCGCGGTCGGTCGATTTAGTCTGCCTACGACAACGATTC